GCATATGAGTTGCAGGAACTTTAACGAGTCAAATAAATAATTTGGAGGAATTTGAAGTGTGAGTGTTTTGGACCTGCTGTACAACAACAAATAATCCCTTATTTGGAGGAGTAGGTGTTTTGCTTCCACTTTTCTCCATAAATTTCCGTACTATACTACCAATTTTCCAAAAAAAACTAAGAAAGCATATGAGTTGCAGGAACTTTAACGAGTCAACTAAATAATTTGGAGGAATTTGAAGTGAGTGTTTTGACCTGCTGTACAACAAGAAATAATCCCTTATAACCTATTTGGAGACCTAATTCGTTATTAACTGTGATGGTATTTTTCTCTTAAAGCATCTCGTAGTCCTGTTGGTGCTTGCCATATGGATGTTTATAAGATATAGTAAATAATCCCAAGAGGGGGTTTACAAATCCCTAACCTATTTGGAGACCTAATTTCTTAATAGCTTTGATTTATTTCTTTTAACCAAATGACCCTGATAGCTTTTGCAAGAACCAGAGATTCAAATCTAAAATTCTTTAAATATAATGGTAAGATGAAAGTGATAGGTGGCGAGTCCATTTTGTCAATTTATCTTAGTAGTGAACTTGAAGGCGGATCTTCTGTTCTGACAATGTGCGTTAATATTGAGCATGCAACTTGCAAGAATTCAGCACCGTTCCCAAATGTGTTAACTTTTATAATTTTTTTTCATTTTGTGGAATTTTTGGATTGAGGCGCTGTTTGATCGAATTCTGTTCTGGGCCTGGCGTGCACATGTATTGCATGCTTTTACTTGCATCATTGTTTTGGTGCCTTTTGTATTTGTCAACTTTATGTTTTACTTGAATCTCGATGCGTTCTCCATAATTTGATTTCATATGGACTTCCATTATGGATGCATATAATCTCTTCTTCAGTTCTTCCTCCCTTTTCATCTGTGGCCTTGTCCTTTTAAAGATTAAAATTTATCTAATACTTCTCTATTATCGTTTTTAGTCGATTTTTGTTTTCGAGATTTCCGATCTTGTTTATCCTCTCATATTATTGATTGTAAACTAGTCATGCTTTTAAACATTTTATTCTGCAAGAGTGCCTTTGCTTCAGTTACAGTACATTTTAAAACTGTTGTTTAAAGTTATCTATCTTTGTCCGGATTACTAGGGGCCCAGCTTTTGGGACTCGAGGGAAGGTTGTGTTGCCTTTTGAAGATAATCCATCATCAAAAATTGGTGTAAAGTTCGATAAGCCTATATCAGACGGGGTTAACCTTGGGGGTCTTTGTGATGAAGGTCATGGATTCTTTTGCAAAGGTATTTCCAGCATGGTCATCCTTTCTTTTTCCTTTAATTTGTCAAATTCAGTAATGCAGAATCTAATCTTTGCGTTTTATCATCTCTTTCTCTCTCTCAGCCAGTGATTTGCGCTTGGAAGCCACAGGTGTTGATGATCTGGACAAGTTACTCATAAGCACATTGTTTGAGGTTTGATCCTTATGATTACTTTGAGAACTAACGATGTTGAACTTGTGGTCACTTTTCTGGTTATTCTAAGGTCCTAATTATCTCTGTTAATTTTTTTTCTGCTTATTAGGTTGTATTCAACGAAAGCAGAAATTCCCCCTTCATTTTATTTATGAAAGATGCTGAGAAATCTATGGCAGGAAGTTCAGAATCATATTCAACTTTCAAAAGTCGGCTTGAAAAGCTTCCTGCTAATATCGTTGTTATAGGATCTCATGCTCATACAGATAACCGTAAGGAAAAGGTACTTTTGCTTTCCAGGTTGTTAAATGTAGTGGTATACAATTATTTTGTTTTCGGTATGCACATGCTGTGTGCTAGGAGCGCTCTAGTGTGAATCTTTTAGGGATTAAATTTCTTGATTAAGAAGTCGTAGGTGTATAGAGGGAGAGGCATGATAAGGAAAGCGAGCGGTGAATCTTTGTTTTTTGATGACCGAGAAATCCGTCTTGGCCAACCCTTTGACCAACCACAGTCTTGTAAACTCGGGGATAATGGGCCCACCCCTCTACCCTTCTCCACTCAAATACCAGGCTTAGTTTGCATGGTGCAGGGCTCGAACCTGAAAAAGAGAAACAGACAGATTAGTTGTCTGTCATGCTTGCAACAATGGCAGTTTTTCATAAAAGAAAGCAGGCAGGAGGTTTGAATTACTAAGATTAAGTTATAGCATGGCTGGTGGAGGTCCGCATGGAAACTATACAAAGATTTATTAAATAGGGTTGAGTGTCTGACTTCTGCTTTATCATATGCTTTGTGAAACGTGCAGATGTAACACAAAATAGTTTTGAAAAGTTTCTTACGGCATTGATTTTATTATGTATAGCGGTGTTATCGGATTCTTTGCTTCTTTCTCCTCTCTCCAATAGTGTGTGGGGGTTTTAAATTTTCTTTTAAAATTGTTGATCTTTGTATTGACTGTTTATTAGTTGGGATAAGGTTAACATTTTTTTCGCGTTCTGCTCTCTTGTAGTCACATCCTGGGGGATTGCTCTTCACCAAATTTGGCAGCAATCAAACTGCCTTGCTCGATTTGGCTTTCCCGGTATATACTCTCTCAATCTTTTCTTCCATAAATTCCCGGGATATAGTATGCTGTTTTTTAATTGTGTACTTTTCTTTCTGCAAGTATTTTGTACATGATGATGCCAATTGAAAACAGTGGTTTTTTTGTGTCGATTCTTTTCTTTGTATTCTTTTGAAAAGCTGGAATCTGGCAACCTAAGCCTGGCACTTTCCGTTGTTCCCTTTTCTCTGGACATAGTCTGTCCCTTGTGCCAATGTTACTCCCACTTGGATTTTTTTTTTTCCTCAGAACTTTAACCCATGGGCTTATAGTACCCAAATTTGATGACCTCAGGATAGTTTTGGGAAGTTGCATGACAGGGGGAAGGAAGTGACCAAGACAACTAAACTTCTGACGAAGCTTTTCCCCAACAAAGTGACCATTCACATGCCACAGGTCTGTTTTTCAAAATTTTAGAATTTTTTATGCTTTTACTGTCTTGTATAACTGATGATCTGTTATGGCTATTGCAGGATGAAGCGCTTTTATCTGCTTGGAAGCAACAGTTGGATCGAGATGCTGATACCCTAAAAATGAAAGGAAATTTGAATAGCTTGCGAACAGTAAGAGCTTGTAACCTGTCTTGCACCTGTTTGTTGATTATGTTGCTGCTAATCATCCTTGCTGAAAATCTATACTTAATATTTGAACTGTTCAGTATTTAAATCAGTTGGCTTCTCTTGCATTCGGGTGAAGAGACCAGCTTCTTTAATTTTGGTGGTTCGTTTTTCTCGGCATGAATTTTGCTTTTGTTTATATAGAAAAGTTGAAGAGAAACTACTGCTTAACATAAATCTAAGTTTGATGATAATGCGTGCCTTGCTGTTCCTTTTTTTTTTCAGAAGTATTTCACTAGTTCACCAAATAGTTGTTAAAATGCACAAACAAATAGGATGGTTGAACCACTGTCAAGGAATTTTCTCTTTACACCAAAAAGGCCCATGGTAGATGTCACTCGTCATCGATGTAGTCGCTTTCAAACCCTCCTGGTTTGCTTAGTGATAGCTCCAGCTTGCCGTAGCAAGTTCTGTCAGATTTGTCTCATCACCTGCCAGACAAGTATCTAGTCCTGGTTCGAGCCAGCAAAAACAAACTTATTTTCATGTCTCTTTCCTTGCTGCTAGACAGGCTTCTCCATTTTATCAACATGAATTTGGGGAGGGGGGGCAATCCTCTATGTTTAAGAAAATAAGAAGGATTGGAGATCATTACCATTCTTTGATTCATTACAACCTTCTTCTGATATGGAAAAGAAATGTGGAGAAGTAGAAGCAAAGAGGAAAAATATTGTTGCTGAGGGTGACGGAATTTCCTTTGAATCACTTCTCATCAGACAACATCTGTGCCTTTGGGTCGTTTGAACTTTCAGCTTCTGCTCTTTCTAGAATTTTGATTTGTCATTCTAATTTGGCAACAGAACACGGTGCACCATTTAGTTCTATTCTTCCTCAGAAAGTGGGTAACATTTCCCAGCATTCTGAGGCAGTGCAAATTATTTAAGATCAATGAACTCTATTATTTTATTTTTAATTGTGTGAACAAGTTGAATACCTGATATGCAAGGTCAAGAGATTAATGAAAAACTCATTATTATTTTTTTACTTTTTCAAACTGTTGGTTGATTCTTCTCCCTTTTTTGGGATAGGTTCTTAATCGGAATGGATTGGACTGTGATGGACTTGACACTTTGTGCATTAAAGACCAGACTTTTTCTGTTGAAAGTAAGCAACTTCTTTTCATACCGTTTATAGTTTCTTTGGGTGGGTAAGGGGAGTGGTGGCGAAGGAGGTTGTCGGGCTACTTCACATTGTATTCTGTTAAGTCATACCATACCTGTCATTGTTTCATGAAGTGGAAAGAACATATATTTGTCATTTGATTTGATTTTGTTGTGTAAAAATAAGCGATTTAGTTTTTTCTTCTCTTTCTTTTGATGATTTGAAGGTGCGGAGAAGGTGGTTGGATGGGCCTTGAGCCATCATTTGATGCAGAACCTTGATGCAGATCCTGACGTTAGGCTTGTTTTGTCTCCTGTGAGGTAATAGAAGTACCAGCAGCTGAGAGTATATTGGTTCACTTAACTGTATTATTCGTGGTATTGAACAGTTCTGGGTAATCTTTTTTTCAATCTAGCAGCATTCAGTATGGGTTGGAAATTCTACAAGCTATGCAAAATGAAAGCAAAAGCTTGAAGAAGTCACTTAAGGTGATCACCTTCTTTCTGGTGGTTTGGTAAACTTCAATTTTTTCTTTTTTGATGAACGAGAAATTTGTCTGGGGCAACCCTTAGGACCAACCGCGGCCTTCAGAACTCGGGGTTAATGGGTCTGCCCTGTACCCTTCTCCACTTAAATACCAGGCTTAGTTCGCATGGCGCAGGGTCGAACCTGTGGCCTAAGTCCCTCGACCTTTGCCACTTGAAATAAGCGCTGGGGGCTTGCTAAACTTAATTGAGATGCTATCTTAATTCGATTGTGGGAGATATTTAACATATAACTTGCGAACAAATTGTTTGTATGACTCAGGATATTGTGACGGAGAATGAATTTGAGAAGAGACTTCTAGCAGATGTTATTCCCCCCAGTGATATTGGAGTAACATTTGATGATATTGGTGCACTTGAAAATGTCAAGGATACATTAAAAGAGCTGGTCATGCTTCCTTTACAAAGACCTGAACTTTTCTGCAAGGGTCAACTAACCAAGGTTTTCATCTTTATACTTGCTTGTTTACATGGTTGTTTTTATGTGGAGCTGTATTGGCTGTTTAGTAGTGTTTGACCTTGTGTTCAAGGATTTAACTGTTAGCACAGATGTTCTGAATCGTTTCTGTCAACTCTTTACATCCATTTGTTGGGTGCTGACAAAATGTAAAAGGAGAAAAAGATGACCTTACTTTTACTTTTAGTGAATTCTTATTTTGAGGTTAGTAAACTGAGTTTTCGCGGTACTATGGTACTAGTTCACATGAGTCTTTTAAGGTGCAAATTAGAATATGCATCAAGTGTGGCTGCATCACTTTTATAGCTGACTGTAAAATTAACATAAAGAAAATCTTGTAAATTTTCTTACTCCTTGCTTTGCTTCTTTTATGAAATTTCTTGTTTATTTACCTGTCACCTTCCTGTTTCAATAATTTTAATATATTTCCATTCTCTTGATCTTTGTGAGATCCTTGGTATGGATAATCAAATTGATAAAAAATATTACTCCCTCTGTTTTAATTTATTGTGGAATAATTTGACTGGGCAAGGAGTTTAAGAAAGAAACGAAGACTTCTTGTGATCTTAAACATGTCATAACATTTGTGTGGCTAAAAAACTTTTGAAACATGTGACTTTAAACATGTGTATGGTTATAAAAGATTGTCATTTAGGGTAAAATGGTAAGTCTAAGTTAAATTGTTTCCGAATTTAGAAAGCTGCGATTCTTTTTGGAACAAACTAAAAGGAAAGGCTGCCGCATAAACTGGCACAGAGAAAAGTATGTAGGGTGAGAGAAACTTCCTCTACTTAAATACTCTCTTTTTGGTGGGGGGTAGAAGAGAAGGTTTCTTTACATAAATGCTCTCTTATTTGGCTTTGCTGGGTACTCTTCTTTGTATCAGACATGAATATCACATGTATTGTCATATGTGATTGCGTAAGTTTTCGTACTGAAGAATTATGTTCTTCAACTGCTTACATTGCAGCCATGCAAGGGAATCCTCTTATTTGGACCACCTGGAACAGGGAAAACCATGCTCGCGAAAGCTGTTGCGACTGAAGCGGGTGCAAACTTTATCAATATTTCGATGTCAAGTATCACTTCAAAGGTTTGCTTCAATTGGAGTTTGTTAGACTGTTCTATCAAGCATGGATTATGTGCTCAAAGGTGCTTCTTGGCTTGTATAAACCTTACTATTGTTTTTCCATGCTGCAGTGGTTTGGCGAGGGCGAGAAATATGTGAAAGCTGTCTTCTCCCTGGCTAGTAAAATTGCTCCAAGTGTTGTCTTTGTTGATGAAGTACGCTTCCTAGAACTCTTACTCGTGTCATTGTTCTTCCATTTAATTTGATGCTATTTTCTTATTCTCTCTCTCTCTCTCTCTCTCTCTCTCTCTCTTGATGCGATCTACCTAAGGTTGATAGCATGCTTGGACGACGGGAAAATCCAGGAGAACATGAGGCCATGCGTAAAATGAAAAATGAATTCATGGTGAATTGGGATGGTTTACGCACAAAAGATACTGAGCGTGTGTTGGTACTTGCAGCAACAAACAGACCATATGACCTTGATGAGGCTGTCATAAGGAGACTGCCGCGTAGGTAAAAGGACCAGTAATTTTACTTATCAATGAAGTAGGAAAATTTCCAGTCTCAATGTTCTTATCATATCATTTCATGAACAGGCTGATGGTCAATTTACCAGATGCTCCAAATAGAGCGAAAATTCTAAAAGTGATACTTGCAAAAGAAGACTTGGCTCCAGATGTTGGTCTGGATGCTGTGGCAAGTTTAACCGATGGATATTCCGGAAGTGACCTTAAGGTGTCGTTTCTATTTCATTTATGCTTGATAAATCACCATTCTTCTGCGTCCTTCTGATGTTTGCAGATGCTGTCTTTTCTAACTAGAGTGCTATATTGCAGAATCTGTGTGTTACAGCTGCATATCGACCAATTAGGGAAATCCTAGAAAAAGAAAAAAAGGTATTCTCTTTCTTACTTGATGTTTGTGCGTGTAATCCTTAGTTGCTAGAGAAAATATGCATTGCTTCTTTAACAGATATTATGGGCGCTGTTGTTTGGATGTGTCTGCTTTTTTCATTATTAAGTGCTTGCTAGGACATTTTAGAGGCATCCATGTGCAATCAAGATGGAATAGGATGTAGGCATATCAACGTAATGTAAAGGATCTCAAGATGTGGACTTGGTTCTGCAATTTGGGAAAAGAAGATGCCTCTTCTTAAATTGTTATACTTTTTCAAATAGCTCAACCTAATGAATAGGCTTTCCCTTGGGTAAATATTCCTTTACCTAATTCTGAATTGTAACTGTAAGGAGATGGTAGGAGCCACTTTGGAAGTATTGTTGAAAAATAAACTAGTTCCATCTCAAGGATGTAAATTTTCTTAATTCATGTAATAGGATATTAATTGGTTTTTGTACATGCTTGAAATTATTTTAGAATTATGCTACATCTACTAGACCAAATACATGTTAGAAGAATGCCTATAAATACCTTTGTAATATTACTATTCAGGTCAAGTTGGAAGACTTCCCTCCACTTGCCTTGAAAAGATTTTGATTGATTAGAAGTGCTCCTCCCCGAATTTCCAACAATATGCACTTGATTTGCTACTCATAAAATTTCCCCTTTAATAGACTTGCTACTACTGTAATCTCATGGTTGGAGTTGATTTTAGGAACATGATGCAGCTTTGGCAGAAGGTAGACCTACGCCAACACCATGCGGCAGTACAGACATTCGGCCTTTGAATATGGACGACTTTAAAAATGCTCATGAGCGGGTGAGTTGAAAAAAAATTAATGATATTTGTCTTTAAGCTCTCTGTTTATTTTTGCTTCATCAGAAAAATTAAAGTGCTTTTGGTGTTTTTATAGGTATGTGCAAGTGTTTCATCAGAATCCATAAATATGACGGAGCTTCTTCAGTGGAATGAACTGTATGGAGAAGGGGGCTCTAGAAGAAAGAAGTCGTTGAGTTATTTCATGTAAAAGCTGTTCATATTGTACATTGGTGAACAAGTCCTTAAGTTATGTAATCTCCTCAGGCCCCAGGTCAGTTGCTGCCCTTTATGGTATGCCATGAAATCCTGGAAGTTTGTAAAATGAGTATAGGTCTCTTTAGTTATACATGAGTTTTGAGATGTAATGAGAGTGGAGTGACTGGCCTCCTAGGAATAGATAGTATCTCCACCTTCGTTTTTCGTTCCCGTCTTTCTCACAACGAGCAGAAAGATGTCGAGGCTATTATTTTATACTGTTGCTATTCATTATATGTCAACTCGAAAGCAAATAATATGGCAAGTCTTTTCATTGCTCTTCTTCTTCTTTAACTCTGTTATAGATGCTGATGAGCCCCTACTCGGTAAAGTTCCAACAAAGAAAATTCCCTTTTGTTATTTATGACGTCTTTGGATATTTAGTGAAGAGTTTTGCATCCCAGGGTGAGTTGGTATGGCAGAAAATACTTCCTAAGCTGAAATCATTTTCTGATATTAATTTCTCGAAAAAAAAAAAATACTTCTCACCAGCAGAAAAACGATTTTGGTCAAAGCACTCTAACCTTGACTTTATATCACTTGTTTAAACCTAAACGTTTGGCAGGTTGTCAACCTTTACTATTCATAAAATATTACCGAATTACTATTCTAAGAATTTATCATCCAGTTTGTATTTGCACGTCACATATGTTTATGTCACAATCAAAAAGAGATACGGTCAAACTACATAATATTAAGATAGGTTCCCGGTGAATAACTGTTATATAGAATTACCAAAATACTTGGTCAAGTTGGCGTAGTTATGCACTTATGCTAAACGTAAATTTCGAAAATAATTATGTCCCCAGTCTCCTCCCATTACCCTATACTTAAAATTGAAACAACAAAACCTAGTATAATTCTACTAGTGGAGTCTGGGGAGGATAATGTCCTTCCATTACCCGGAGTCTGGGGAGGGTAGTGTGTACGCAGACCTTACCTCTACCCTGAGGTAGAGATGCTGTTTCCGATAGAAACTCGGCTTCCTCCCTCCAAGAACTCCCCACCTTGTTCTTGGAGTGACTCGAACTCACAACCTCTTGGTTGAAAGTGAAGGGTGCTCACCACTAGAGCAACTCACTTTTGGCCTGTTTTTAAAATTGAAAATGGTACTATTTTAGTTTTCTTGATAGTGCTATATGATTGTGTTTTAACTAATTTATAGACCACATGCATCGCAAGATGCTTGTTAGTATAAAAGTAAAGGTAGGTTTTTCTTCAATATCACTCATGCCCACCAAACGATGACAAAAAACAGTATCAAGAAAGAGAAGAAAAAAAAATGCAAAAGCAGACGAAATTGGGTATCCAACTTCTTAAACAAAGAGTATCAATCATTAACAATGATTGATAAATGTTCAACTTAGCAGGTTGGAGATACTGAATGACATTGTGACAACTAAATAAAAAAGAAAAGGAAACGCTTCAAACTAAAGGAAAATAGCATACCATTCCTTCTTCTTCACTCAAGAAAATTCTGAAGGAAATTAACACATGTCACCCAAATTATTATAAGCTCCCCCCCTTTAGGTAGAACGTAGTGAACATAAGAAAAGAACACAATGCCCCCCTCTGAAATTGCTTTTCCTCTGCTTCTATTCTCACCCAAAACTCGTCTTAAAAAGACCCTTATACACAAATACTATAGAGCTATGAAGTTTACAAAAAGAAATATCATACCACTTCTTGTTTTCATCTTATCATTTGCTTCCATCCTCAGACTTGTCAAGATTTCTGTAATTACTTCATATTCCTCTCCAATTTTTTTTGCCTTATCTCCAGCTGAACAACACCCTCATCTCCTCACAGAGAAAGAAATCAAGTTTCTATATAATCTTGTATCGCGAAAATCCCCCTGCAATATTCTTGTTTTCGGGCTTGAAACACAATATTCTGCTCAAATTTCAACCATCAACAAGGGTGGAATTACTGTCTTTCTCGAGGACAAGCCCGAAAAAATCAAGACTATTAATGCCACAGATCATGCTAATACTATTCGAATTTATAAAGTCGAGTATCAAACAGTTGCTAGAGATGCATACAAGCTTTTAAAGCATGCTAGGCGAAACCAAAAAAATTGCTACTCACAAGATTCGCAAAGGTGCAAATTTATGTCACTTGTGACAAATATGCCTAAGGAAGTATATGAAGTGAAGTGGGATTTAGTGATTGTAGATGGACCAGAAGGACATAAACCAGAATCACAGGGACGAATGGCTGCAATTTATCTTGCTAGTGTGTTAGCAAGAAGAAGCAAGAAGAAAAATGGGACTCATGTTTTGGTACATGATGTTGATCGAATGATTGAGAAATGGTTTTCTTGGGAATTTTTATGTGACATGAATTTGGTTTCTTCTAAAGGGAAATTCTGGGATTTTAATATATTAACAAAACCAAATACCACCACATTTTGTCCCACGTAATTGAACATAGTATGCTATTGTAGAAGAATGTTTTTGATTTAGGCATATAGCTTATGTTTATTTCATTATTGTAAATTTGATGATCCTCTCGCCCTTTAGTAAATACTGAGTAAATTCTATTTGAAGGCAACTATCTTCCCTTTACCTTGAGAAATTAACCATCTTAATTTATCTTTGTAAATTAGCTGCCTCACATTTTATTAAATTGTAGATGTTTAACTCCACTCTTGATCTCCATATGTCACGTGAAAATAAATGGTATGTGTACCTTATCACAATCTTTACCAAAAAAAAAAAACATAAAATGAAGAAGGTTAATACGTTTCAAGAAAGACTAAAACCAATAATTACTTTAGTGCTAAAAAAGTCTTTTCTTTGTTTAAAATAGCCCTTTTCCCCTTTTAAACTCTCATTTTCCTACTTTTACACGCTCTACTTTTATTACCTTCAAGTAGTGCTAAAAGGACCAATTTCTCGGTAACTCGCCCATATTTAGATGGGTTGGCCGGCCGATAATAGAAAACTGAAAATGCGTAAAGTTTTTAGATTCAGGCCATCTTTTACCCACATCTGAAATGGGTTACCAAGAAGTTAGACAACGAAGTATCCCCTATCGACCAAGTCTAAAAAAGACGAGCTTTCCCTATGAACCTTGCTTTTCTTTCGGTAAATACTTCACTTATTAAATAATGGCCGAATATATAAATAATCCCTTAAACTTTGTCAAAGAGTTTTATTTAAACACTTGGACTAAGACTATGACCTATTGGACACCTAAACTCAAACTGTAGTGTACCAATTAGACATTTTACACAGAATCTTTCACAAAAATTAAATGCGTGAGTTTCACACACTCTGACATGACAAAACTAGCGAATCATTAAATGACATGTAGAATTTTTTAGAAAAGAAAAAAAGAGAGAAAGCCTCTTTGATCTACCATTTTTTCTGCCCAAAATCCCTACAACACAATTTCACTGTTATACGATCAAACAATTCTTTCAAAATTGACTCGATGCTAAACCCCAATTGTTTTGCTCGCAGATGGATGAGGAATTCATTTCTCATTTTTGTAATGGTCCGATCGGTCGTTTTGAGAGTATTAGCCCATAATTATTGCTCTCTCTATTTTATTTTTGGATTTTATGACTTGCCGGGAGGATTTATTTTCGGTTTCAGAGTGTAATAGGACACATAGTCCCTAAAATGGAAGTTTAAGTCATAAAAATTGACTGTAGTTCGAACTGTGTGAAAACGACTCCAGAATAGAGTTTTGACGGTTTTTATAGCTTTGTAGGGAGATTTTGATCTTAAGAGCGTGTTCAGATGTTGGATCGGAGGTCCGTAAGTCATTTTAGCACCAATTGGTGAAAGTAGAAAAATTAGATGATTTTTGGGAAGTTTGACCGGTAGTGGACTTTTTGATATCGGGGTCAGATTCCGATTCTGAAAATTGGAGTAGGTCTGTAATGTCAATTATGACTTGTGTGCAAAATTTGAGGTCAATTGGACTTGGTTCGACAGGTTTCGGCATCGGATGTAGAAGTTTAAACTTTGAAGTTCATTAGGCTTGAATCGATGTGCAATTCGTATTTTTAGCATCGTTTGATGTGATTTAAAGGCTCGACTAGGTTCGTATGATGTTTTAGGACTTGTTGGTATGTTTGGTTGAGGTCCCGGGGGCCTCGGGTGGATTTCAGACGGTTAACAGATCACTTTTGGACTTAGAAGATTTCTGCTGCTGGGCTAGTTCTGGTGTCCTCGCATTTGCGGTGGATTTGGCCGCAGGTGCGGTCTCGCATAAGCGAGCTGGGAGTCGCAGATGCGGAGGCGAGGAGGATGGCCAGTGGTCGTAGGTACAGTGTGAAGGCCGCAAAAGCGGAGTGACGAGCGCAAAACACACACTTAAATTGTGCTCTCTAGTCAAAGATAGTATAATATAATTATCGTGTCCATATGGATTGGATTTAAACAATATTCTCGTAGTTCGTAGATCGATTGCTATCCAGGAGGATCAACAATGGAGATTTATACAATTAATAATTGAAACTAAATAAGAACATAAACTATTGACTAATGACAATCTCAACAAAGGTAAGCAAGGAAGTTATCAACGGGAGAAAATATGGGTTGATAGGATAGGTGCAAGATAATTGTTCGGGATCTAACTCTAGATAATTCACTTCTAATGTTCAAGTGAGTCTCTTGAATTCACTTAATTATCAGTACAAATATTTAGTAGAAACTCCTCTCTCGATTAAGTTTCAACCTCACAATATGAACCAATTTAAGCTCGGTGAAGATATGCAAGAATTCGTAATGGATTGGTCTTTAGGAGAACCTCTTTCGATTATTCTCCTAACTAGGTTTAATCAAGGTTTAAACTAGCCTCTTTCGATTATTTAGAAGAATCTATGAACTCAACCAACAATATAGTGCAAATATATCACAAGTTATGCCTCTTTCGATTATAAGAACAAGTGAACATAGATGCAACAATTATATCTTTCAAAAATGATTCAAATACATAAATATAGAGTTATAATCCACAAACATCCATCAATACACTAAATACATCAAAATTCAAATGGTTCTACCCCATAGACATGGAGAAGTTCTACACAAATAAAATAAAAGTAGAGAAAAATATAAATACAATCCAAACCCGGATCTTGAGTGAGGAAGGAATGATGAAATCCTTGTGCTCTTGCTTCTCCTTCTTCTCCTAAGCTTCCCTAGGTCTAAGGTATGTTAAAAGTGTGTCAAAAATGGTATTTTGGGGTATTTAATCCGTCCCCAAAATAACTCCCAGACAAAACTACCCTTTCTTAGCGAGATAGGACTTTTTCCGGACAGGATATGCGCGATCGCGCACTTGGTCGCGCATTTTGCACATTGTTCTGCCCCAAGTGCGCGCCCAGGTGCGCGATCGCATACTTGGTCGCGCACCTGCGTATTAAGTTGGGAATTTGGGAAAACGTAAAACATGAAAGTTGAATCTCTTTTAAATAGCCTTCCAACGATATATTCTGGAGCCCAAACGGATTTATGTGTGAAAAGATATGTGTATTTTACTGGACAATGCACAATAAACCTGCTCGATTCTTCGTTTTGTTCTTAATGTGCATTATCATCCGTTGATCCCCGAACATGATCCCAACTTAACCTTTGGGCTTTTACTCAGACTTCAAAGCTCCAAAATAGCATGAATTCATGCCACAACATCTACATAGCTCAGAATCATTCCTACAGGGCATAAAACACACAATAAGTGCAAAACACGCCTAATTAAAGCTCAACATAAGTAAAGTACAGTGAATTAGAGTGCAATAAGAGACTAAAATACGGGATTATAGCCTACCATCAACACCCCACACTTAAACTAGGAGTTTTATTTAAATAAAACTTTGTCAAAGAGTTTTATTTAAACACTTGGACTAAGACTATGACCTATTGGACACCTAAACTCAAACTGTAGTGTACCAATTAGACATTTCACACAGAATCTTTCACAAAAATAAAATGCGTGAGTTTCACACACTCTGACATGACAAAACTAGCGAATCATTAAATGACATGTGGAATTTTTTAGAAAAGAAAAAAAGAGAAAAAGCCTCTTTGATCTACCATTTTTTCTGCCCAAAATCCCTACAACACAATTTCACTGTTATACGATCAAACAATTCTTTCAAAATTGACTCGATGCTAAACCCCAATTGTTTTGCTCGCAGATGGATGAGGAATTCATTTCTCATTTTTGCTCTAGATTACCAATTTTGTCAGAAAGTTCATGTGATTTGATTCAACCAAATGTGACAAGCTTAATGATTTAAGATAATGAATCAATTTCATATCTGCTGCAAATATAAAGAAAATACATCCACTAGAATAAAAGTTAACCACCTCGCTCATAAGCAGCTCCTCCTAAGTTACGATACCCATATGATCTAGATTCTCTAAGAGGAATATAAAGAAGGAAAAATGGGGTGAAATGGAGATGACAACATATCCAACCTTACACTTTGAATGAAGAAGACGAGGGGGTGACTGTAATGGTATATAGATGATTAAAAGGTCGAGGGTGGGGTGCGTTGGGTGGAGTGGATGTTTGGTAGGCGGCAGTGAAATTGGTGTTGGTTGGTGGATGAAGTGGTGGCAGGGAGAGAATATAGAAGAATGATAACTATTTTCGTGGCCCTCATGCGCCAAGTTTAATGTTTCACACGCACTGTGCCATGTTATTCATGTGTGTTTAATAGATACACTTTAGCTTGAGTTCAACTGTTAAATAGAAACACTTAGTTCAAGTGTCTAAATGGAAAAAATGGACAAGTTCAAGAGTCTACTTATGTATTTGGCCTTAAATAATTTAAGAGATGGTCATATGGTCAATTTCTATTTTACTTGTTGGAAGGTTAGTACGAATCTCTTCTCGAGTTAACTCATTCAATATCCAACTATTATATTTTATTGATAGGGAGAAGAGGTGGCCTTGTACTCCGTTTCTCTCATGTTTGCTTGTGAAAAGGTTTAAAGCCCTTTCACGGTTCAAAAGTTTTCCAAAAGATTTGATCTAACAAAAGTCCTGCACTGAGCGAGTAATTAAAGTAAGAATACACATTACCTAATCATAGTTAAACAATAAATGTATTTAAAAAATACGCATGGATTGCATTTAGCAGCTAATGATAAATATGTTGCGCTCCGACATTCTGTACGTTTGCACCATGGGCTGCAGCATTGATTATGCTGACCAGGGACACCTCTTATTAGAAGCCTGTCAAAAATGTACATATGGTAAATTTCCCCAATTGAGGCCTGTAAAAAAATTATGCAGAAGGTATATTACATTATTTCATATGGATAATTATTTATTTTTGAACAATCTTCAATTTCTTCTCAGAATCTTGATTCTCTACCAAGAATCTTTTATTCTCACCAATAATCTTCATTCTCTACTAAAAATATTTATTCTCTATCAAAAATTTCTCCACCAAGATATCTTTATTCTAAGAACAAAAACGTAAGTACGCCCAGTTATTCTCTGATTATTACTCTGCAAATATTTATTAAAAGATGAGAACTGAGAAGTTATTTTTTTTTTTGGATGATATTTTTCTACTG